GTGAGTCCAGCCCAGTTCAATCCAGTAACCACAGTTCTCTAGACCTAGAGCTCCAGTATTCAACAGTGTCTTCATATCCTAACGTGTGCATGTCATTATTTGTTTAAACTCTATGAAGAAAAAATAATTTTGATGAGAAGCTTTCTGTCGGCTTACAACGAAACAAAAACGCACTTCCTGTTGCTGATAAGCCAACGTGCTTCCTTCCCACCCAGCAACAGCAGCATGCGCCGCTGATAAGCCTGCTCCATCTCCTGGATACAGAAGGAAAAACACATGCGTCACGTAGCCAAACTCTCGTCTCCGACCTACCGACATGGCCACGAGTGAAATACTGGTCGGTTGCACTTCATGTTGTGATCTTTGGCGAGATAAACTACGACACCACTTCAAGGTGACCCAAGTGTTTGTCCCGCCGTTTTCATCGACGTCTCGGCAACTTCACAACTGACTTATATTTATGGCTACGGTCACAAAGTAGCATGCTGTCATCTGTACGACATCGGCTCAACGTCGTGTGCATCAACGTCGTCAAACTTTATAAGCACTGAAATAATTTTGCATCGGCCCAACGTCGGGAAACTTCCCCCGAAGTTGGGGCGGTGGGGTAGTCTTGTGGTTAAAACGTTCGCGTTGGTTCGATTTCCCACATGGGTACCATGTGTGAAGCCCATTTCTGATGTCCCCGCTGTGATATTTCTGGAGTGAGTGGGTGAGTTTAGTTTTACGCCGCACTCAGCAATATTCCAGTAATATGGCGGCGGTCTGTAAATAATCGAGTCTGGACAAGACAATCCAGTGATCAACAGCATGAGCATCGATCTGCGCAATTGGGAACCAATGACAGGTGTCAACCAAGTCAACGATCCCGTTAGTCGCCTCTTACGACAAGCATGGGTTACTGAAGATCAATTCTAACCCGGACTTCACGGGTATGATATAGATGGAATATTGCTAAACTCACTCACTGACTCATCAGCAGTGCATCAGTCTAGAATCAGTCCAACGTCGGCAATGCATCAGTCTAGAATCAGTCCAACGTTGGCAGACTTCATCGTCCCACTGTCTGCTGTATTAATCGTGGTTTTTGCTTACTTCCGTTAACTGTTCGTCATAACCGTAGTTCGTAGCATGCATTGCGAGAAAAATATGAATCAAGTGATCTGGACAATAACAAACAATTCGTTATATCCGTCAGTTCGTAAAGAGCGCGTACGTTATACACGTACATTACTGTACACATACATTTCGACCAACCCAATCTACCTGCTTCAGTTAACAAACCCCCGTAAATTATTTATAGGTCAACTTGGCCTCACATAGAGAGACAACTGGAGACTTTTGATTGCTGTCCTGGTCGCCGGTATAAGCTTACCACACAGGTATTAAACTGTCGAGTTACCTGGAATTACGGACACAATAAAACGGCGTCCTCATTCCGACCTCGCTACCAGAACATACAGGGCCCCGTTCCTCAAAGCGATCGTAGCGCTACGACAGTCGTAAGTCTATGTTAAAGTATGGAAGTTACGATCGTAATGATCGTATGAAACGCTACGATCGTTTTGAGGAACGAGGCCCTGGGCAACAAGCGAGAAGTGAGTGAGTGAGCTTAGTTTTACGCCGCTTTTGGCAATATTCCAAGAATATCACGGCGGGGTACAACAGAAATGAGCTTCACACACTGTACCCATGTGGGGAATTGAACCCGGGCCATCGGCGTGACGAGCGAACGCTGTAACCGCTTGGTTACCACAGACACTGTTGCAACATTGCTAAAAGGCGCGTAATACTAAACTCACTCACTCACTTCTCGCTTGTTTCCCTGTACTCACTCACTCACGCAGTGACACTTTACGTAATGATATCTACGTAGATATTTACCAACCATTACAAGGACGGTCGGTTTGTATGGAGATGATGCTTAACTTTTTCCGAGCTGTATGTGTTGCATGTAAGGTAAATGTACCGTAAAGGCCGTTGTGTCAACATTGATGTGTCGAACACATAGTTGTCTCGACGACGTAAAAGCTTACTACCTGTGTTCCTAATTATGTCATAATATTTCGGTTGTGCAGAACTCGAATTACATACGTAAGTCTCATAAACTTCGACACAACGGTATTTTACTAATTCTATTATTATTTAGAGTGAGTTGTGAAGATCCAGGTTAGAATTGGTCTTCAGTAACCCATGCTTGCCGTAAGAGACGACTAACGGGATCTGGTGGTCAGGCTCGCTGACTTGGTTGACACATGTCATCGGTTCCCAATTGCACAGATCGATGCTCATGCTGTTGATCACTGGATTGTCTGGTCCAGACTCGATTATCTACAGACCGCCACCATACAGCTGGAATATTGCTGAGTGCGGCGTAAAACTAAACTCACTCACTCACTGTTATTTCGAGTTGGGGCGGTGGGGTAGCCTAATGGTTAAAGCGTTGGCTCGTCACGCCGAAGACCCGGGTTCGAATCCCCACATGGGTACAATGTGTGAAGCCCATTTCTGGTGT